CTTTCCTTTAGCTGTAGGGATTGGCACAAGAATGGACATAGGATCCAACTGAGGCCAATAAGAGATAAGGGGAGATCTGCAAGGGGCTTCTGGGGAAGTTTAGAGCCACGGGAACGGATGAGCTTTGCCTCCTCTGGACACAAGGGGCTATGAGGACTGGGTGACACACTAAAAGAGGACAGGGCTGAGAAAACTGGAGAGAAATGCAGCTGGAACCAAGCTGGAGTACTGGATTTTGCCAGCCCTGAAGCCCTCCCCACTTCTGGATCCACTTAGGATTCCCAGCATCTTCTCTCTGGGTTTTCTGGCTCTTGCATCCTATATCATTATACCTGCTTAAAATCCTTTACTTCCCCATTCTTCCCTAGCCAAGGTCCATCATAGATCTGAGCCCCTCCCAAATCTCTCGCTTGGCAATCTCCAGCTCACATCTGTTCCCCTAGCTGTACTGACTTTGTGCTTCTCGGCATATACCACGTTCTCCTGTACCTCTGTGCCTCTCCACAGGGCTCTCTGTTCCTTCTGCCTGGTCAGCCCTTCCCTTCTTCATACAGCCAACTGCTGCCCATCTTTAAAGATCCTCTTAAGCATTATCTCTCTGGCATCCTCCTGGACCCTTCCTCCTCTGTGGGAATATAACCCACCTCCCATTCTAGATCCTAAGCTCCTTCAGTGAGGGGACCACATCTCATTTGTCTTTGGAGCCTCAGGGTCCAGCAGGTGCCTAGCAGAGAGGAAATGCTCAGTGTCTGTTGGAAAGGGTGTATTTTTTTTAAGAAGACTTTATTTTTAAGTGATCTCTACTGCCAACACGGGGCTTGAACTCTCAACCCCGAAATCAAGAGTCATGTACTCCACCAACTGAGCCAGCTACATGCCCCAAAGGATGGATCTTTTTTTTCTTTTTTTAAGATTTTATTTATTTGAGAGAGAGAGCATGAGCAGGGGGAGGGGGAGAGGGAGAAGCAGATTTCCCACTGAGTGGGGAGCCTGATGTGGGGGACCGATGCGGGGCTCCATCCCAGGACCCAGGATAATGACCTGAGCCGAAGTTAAGACACTTAACAGACTGAGCCACCCAGGTGCCCGGAGGATGGATCTTTTTAACCAATGTGAATCCCAATGTAGGCAGGGCCTGGAACTCGCTAGAGATTTTCCTCCTCATCCAGAAGGAGGCAATGCACTAGGAGGGGTGCTGTACTTCTTGCCAATTTAAGCTGTATTTACTCTCTAACACAAAATAAGACTTTTGACCTAGGGGAGTGGCTTTTAAGGGTGGAATTTCAGAGGATGGGGAGAGGGAGGCTTTTTCTGGGTGGGACTGCTACCAGCCACTCCTCTAACTGCCTGTGAGTCCCGGCCTCCTGTGCTCACCTGCTTGGAGAGCAGTGCGGGCCCGGCGCCCCTGCCCCCCTTCCCCCTTACTTGATACTCAGTCAGGTAGTCTTGTTCCATGAAGGCCAGCTGGTCCTTGAGCCTCTTCAGTTTCCCCATCTCACGAGCAAAGTCCTTCTTGTCCCGTTTCCACATGGCATCCTTCAAGAACCTGACGCCAAGGTGGGGGTATGTCATCCCCCAGTGACCGAGCTTCACCCTGGGCTGGGAAGACTGGCTGCTGCTGAGGGCCCGGATGAGGGTGGGAGGAGCCACCAGAGACGCCATGCCCCACTGCCCAAGGCCCCTCCCACTACCTTTGAGGTGAGAGAGGAAAGTGATAGTCTGATCAGCAGCCCCTGCTGAGGATCCAAGGCCTCAGGGCAAGGAAGGGCAGTGCTCAACCCAAAGGGGTGAGGCCCTGTGCAAAGCCCTGGGAATAATATCCTGGGGGGGGGGGGGGACCGAGGGCTCTCTTCCACAGACATATTTCTCAGCCCAGACCCTCCTGGTAAAGGCTCAGCCTTAGGTGAGGGCCCCAGGGAAAGGGCTGGGAGGGAGGGCAGGGGTGGCAGGCTGTGGGTGGTTCTCACACCCTCACCGGGCACAGTCACGGTGGCTCCATATTTTGCAGTAGTCGATGGGCTTGCGGCCCATGGCATCTCGGGCGTGGACATTGGCGCCATTTTGCACCAGCACCTTCACGCAGCTCAGCAGGCCCTTGCGGGCTGCCAGGTGGAGGGGTGTGGAGCCATTGCATGTCTGACTGTAGAGGGCCCCGCCGGCCGGGAAGAGGGCAGAAAGGAAGGACAAAGGCCATCTGCCCATCAGAGAGGTGGGCAAACCAGCTTCCGCACCTGCTCTGCCACTAGCCCACTGGGTGACTCTGATATGTCCCTTCTCCTCTCTGAGCTTCAGTTTCTTCAACCGTAGGAGGAGGGTTTGGACTAGATGAATGGTGGGAGCCTGACTATATGGATGTGCAACAGTAAAGATCTGCTGGGAGAAGAGCTGGGTTGGCTGGAGCTCAGAGAGCACTAACCTTATTGGCTCTTAAGTCAGCCAGCCCTCCTGCCCCCTCCCCTGCCTGGCCATGGCGCACAAGGCCTGCGTGACCTGGGCCCTGCCTCCTCCCCACCCTCATCTTCTGACCTTGCCCCACTCTTTCCCAACGTGTGATCTTTGCACATGATGTTCCCTCTGCTTGGGACTCTTTTCCCCAGTTCTGTCCATGGCTGCCTTGCTCTCAGTTTTCAGGCTGCAATTTAAATGTTATTTCCTTAGAGGTGACTTCCCCTTCCAAAATAGGTCCTCTGCCCTACCCCTTTCACTCATCACCTCATTGCCCTGTTTATTTCCTTTGTAACTACTTACTACACTGTCATTTCATTCATTTATTGGTTTGCTAGTTCACCCTCTGCTCCTGCACTAGTTTATCAGCTTCATGAGGGCTGGGACAATTTCCGTGTCTTCACTGCTGTATTCAACTCAGGCTTGGCACCGAGCACACAGGGCTCTGTAAATATGAGCGAGTGCAGTCTCCCATGGGCCATCCGGGCACTTCCATGCATTTCCTCAGTTACCACAATAGTCTCATGTCATCTTCCCACATTTCAGTTGAAGACACTCAGGAAATAATTCCCAAACTTTGCTGCAAATTAGAAACACCTGGGGATATTTTAGGCCTTCCAAAGCTCAGATGGCACCCCATACCAATTTCAGCCTTTTACTGGAACACAGGCACTGGTATTTCTGAAGCTACATACGGGACTCCAGTGTGCTGACAAGCTTGGGAACCAGAGCACTGAGGCTAATGGTTGAGTGACTTGTCGGAGGTCTTGCTGTTTGCTAGCAGATGGCAAAGCTGGGGTGTGAACTAGGTCTGTCCTCTCCCAGAGCCTGATCTCCTTACTACAGCATGCGGGCTCGCTGACTGCTTTATGTGGGACCCAATCCTTGTCACCCCACAGCCCTCTGCCTGTCCTGCATGGATCTGCCTACTTGGAAGTGGGGTTCCTATCTGCCCAGGTTCCAAGACACTTTCTGGACACAGGCTGGACTCACGTGTTGAGGGCCGCCCCTTGCTTAAGTAGATAGTGAATGCAGGGGAGGGTCATGGTCTTGTTGTCCCCGTGGATGACCAGGTGCAGGGGTGTCTGGCCATTGTTGGTGGGCAGGTCCACGGGAAACTTGTACTCCTCTACCAAGACCTGCAGGCACGTAAGCTTGCCGCTCTGGGCTGCAGAGTGGATGGCAGTGAAGCCCTGTGGGGGCAGGAGGAGGGTAGGAGGAGACTGAGCAGGATTGGGGCCCCAGGGTCCCCAACCTAACCTACAGAGCAGAGTCTGCTCATAGAAGGTGACTACACAGAAAAGGGTATCTGTGGATCTGCCATAGGCAGATCTTTGCCAGGGAACCACTATGTGAGGAACTTTCTGTGCGTACAGAGGACTTCATTTCTTGCCCCCAAGCTCCAAGGCCTTACCTTGTCATCTGCTGGAATTTTGTCACGGTCCCGACTCAGACAGAAGCGCAACCATTCCAGGTTGCCCAGTGCGGCCGCGAACAGCTCGTAGTAGCTCCCAATAGCACTCTGGTCCCACTCATCGTCGGGGTAAGCGTGGGTCCGGAGTGGGCAGGTGAGCAAGAAAGCGGAGTCTGGGTCTGGGCCGTTGGCCCTGCGGAGGGGCGTGCGTGAGGGCGAGGGCTGTCACTGAGCACCAAGGCGCTTCGGGAGGCCAGGCCGGGGCTCGCTGGTCGGCAGGGCAATGAGGAAGCCACCGTCCCCGGACACCTCTCCGGAGGCGAGCCCGGACCCCAGCCCCGTTCTCCCGGCTCCTCGCGCCACCCAAGGGCTCCCACATGCTCCGGGCCCTGCCCCTCCAGGGAGTCCCCCCACAGCCCGGCCACCTCATCCCCGGCCCACCTGGGCTGCTGGGACGCAGCTTCACCCCAGGTGACCTTGTAGGAGGCTTTCTCCGCCGGCTGCATGGCGACACTTGTGTGCGGGGGGGCTGCCCCCCCCCCCCACCACGGCCTGCCCGCCGGCGGGCCCGCGCCACCCGCCCGCAGGGTCCCGCCGGCGGAAGCTCGAACTGGCCCTGCGGCCAGGGCTGCTCCTCCGCGGACCGCAACACTTCCCTGGCTGAGTAACCGGCCGCCCCCCCGTCTCCAGGGGCCCGCCCGGCGCCTCCCGGAGATCCTGCCGCGGCTAACCCCTCCGCCACCCGGTGAGCCCTGGCCCCCTCGTCCTGGAAACAGCATCGGCCACACACACAAACCACAAGACCCCTGGGTTTTGTTTCTGATTATAAAATTGGTAAGTGCTGATTGTAAAAACAGAGAAAGGGACAAGGAAATTAAAAATCACAATTCCACCAACCGCAGAAATCACGGTCCATTACGATATGTATATACATATCCTACATTTTTTGTACTTCTTTTCATTTAGCGTTTTATTATGAACTAATATCCATTGTCATGCCATATACTAAACGTACGTTATGACGCCACTGTAGCCCAGCGTCATAATGGACGTACTATCATTTGACATGTGCGGCAGAAAACAAAATGATTCATCTTGATCGTTTTCTTAGGATGGATTTCCTGAATGTAGAATTACTAGGTGAAAGGGAACGAACATTTTTTAATTGTTAATATGTGTTTACAAACTGCCCACCACCAAGGTTTTATATTCATTTACACTTCTACCCGCAGTGAAGCAGGGACCCTGCACATCAGCCGTGGGACTTTGGGTGAGTTACTTGACCTCTGTGTCTTAGTTTCTGCATCAGCAAACTGGGAATAATACCACCTACTTCACAAGGAGGGAGGGGATTGGAGCAGTGAGACCAGGCCAGCTATCTAGAATTTTCTATTGTTAAAAGAGGACCTACTTGAACCATCACCACCAGCGCTGAATATTGTGATTTTAAATAAACATTTGCTAATAATTTGGTAGTGGAAATGTTCTAATTTGACTCCTTGATGACTACCAAAAGTTAAACAATTAAATATCAGTGTTTTTCTCTTCTGGGAATTATCTGTTTCTTCACATTGTTCTTTGAGGGTCTTCAAAGTGTTTCTTACTGGATTTGTAAAACTTATTAACCGTAACCCTTTATATATATTTGTCATCAATGTTTTCTTCAGTTTGCCTTTTAAGTTTTTAATATATGGTAGTCAAGCAATCAACGTAGCTTGATTCAGTGTTGAGTGAACCATCCACATTCCATCCCTTCTCAGGGGGAATGACCCCAAGCTTATCAGAGGTTTACTGAGGCCCCAGGGGTCAACTCTAGGTATACCGGACCACACCACTCACTTCTAACTACCTTCTCCCCTCTGGGCCCCATCATTCCTGGTATTTCCCCCAGAGAAATCTAAGGAGTGGGGAGGGTCTCCCAAGACCACTGTGACCTACAGGGAGGGACAAAAATGCAGATTCTTTACCCAAAGCAGTTCTCCCTCATTCCAGGGAAACCTCCTCTGGTAGTCCACTCACCTCCCAACCCCAGTGGTCTGAAGGAGTTAGCACCCCTCCTGAGCACTTTAAAAACTAGCAAATTCTGGGGATCTGCCCCAAGTGGGGCCTTAACACCTGGCTTCAAATTAAGATGAAGTGATAATGTTTTGCAGGGACAAAGCTTGAGGATTTCCTGGCAGTTGGGGGATTCTGTGGGCTGTTGCTTCTGAGGTATTAGGGTCCTAAGAATGACAACAAAACCCTATGTGTATGTCGGGTTGGAGAGTGTCTCAGGACTTCTTCAAGTGCACCCTCATTATCTTTACCTGGGTTATCTTGCAGCCTCTAAACTAGTGGTTGCAACTCCAGCTGTACCTGGGGGAAAAATACCAATGCAGAGGAATTCTGCCTCCAGATTCAGATTAACTGATCTGGTTTGGAGCCTGGGCCTTGGTATTTTGTAAAGTTCTCTAGGTGATTCTCATGTGCTTAATACAGGCGTTAACAACCTTTTGTTCTTTCCCAGTGCGGGGAATCCAGGGAGAGGGATGAAGCGTGGGAGCCCCCTCCCCCCCGTCCCCGCCTCGAGGCGGAGGGGGTGTGGTTGGGGTGGGTAGCTGACAGTGGGCACTCAAGCGGTTGGTTCAGGTGTGTGGGACCTTGGAAGACACGGAGGCGTGCGTAGAACTGGCGTAGAGCAGGGGCTTCCGGGACGAGCTCCGGGGTCCGCTATGGATGGGGCTAGAGCGCAGTGTCGGACGCGGGGTCCTGCGGCGCCCCCTCGCGGGAGTAGAACTCATCGAGCACGCTCTGCGGGATGCGCTTCAGCATCTCCTTGGGGAAGATGCGCAACAGCTTCCAGCCCAGGTCCAAGGACTCAAACACCGAGCGGTTCTCGTAGGGGCCTAGGGACGGGGCAGGAGTGTTAGGAGCGTGTGCGCGTATATGTGGCCGGGTAAGGGGGTTACTGCCTGAACGCCCCCAGCCCGCCTCACCCTGGTTGATGAAGTTCTTCTCGAACTTCTGCAGGAATTCCAGATAGAGCAGGTCCTCCGAAGTGAGCGCCTCCTCCCCCACCACTGCTTTCATGGCCTGCACGTCCTTCCCGATGGCGTAGCAAGCATACTGGGTGAAGGGGGGCGGTCCTAGCGGTCACCGCAGGTGGATCACAGGAGCTCAGTGGCCCCCAATTTGGCTGTGTGGGGACCCCAAAAGGGGAGGGATTTCCCAGAGACAAGCTCGTGGTCCAGGTAGGGCTCAAACCTCTAGCTTCTGAAATTAGCTTACCCACCAGTCCCTGGGCTCTCTCCTTACCAGTTGGTTGGAGACGTCTCCATGGTCCTTTCTCGTCATGCCCTCCCCAATGGCAGACTTCATCAGCCGCGACAGGGAAGGGAGCACGTTGATGGGGGGGTAGATCTGGGCAAGCAGAAGAAGGGAGTGGCAGAAGGCAGGGTCCAGACTTGACTTTCCTTCCTACCCCTACTTGTCTCTCCTCCCCCTGGGGTTCTCAAGAGACTGCTCCTCCCTCCTCCCACAGAGAGGTCTGCTGGTCATGCCCTGCCCTCCTTTATCGCCCACAAATTCTAGAACTTGGGTATGCACGTGTCTACATGTGTGCTCCTAGACAGGAGGGGGGGGGCGTGACGTGACATTAGGTAATGAAAGTCACTATTTTAAAACCTTTGATTATTTGGACAAAAACCAGGTTGAAGCTTAATAGTTAATAGCTGTAAAGAAGGAACCTACTGAGCAAAGAGGTAAAAGTCACAGGATTGCCTTTGACCTCAGATGGGACAGACACATTTTCTAACCTGTTAGCACATTATTCACCATCTACTTGTGTCAGTTACCCATTGTTTTGTTCACCAGAGCAAATTACTGGAAAGCAAAGAGAAGTGGTATTTATTATCTACTATCTGCTGGATGCTCTCTATGTGCCAAATGATTGTATCCTCCACAATGCACTCCACTGAGTGATAAATACTATTAGTTCTGTTTTATAGGTGAGGAAACCCAGCATCAGAATGATGAGATGATTTTCACAAGGTTCCCACAGTCAGATGGTCTGGATTCTAGCCAGACCTGTCTTTGTCTGTGACCACACAGTCTTCCTGGGTCATCTCCTCTTTGGAGTTAGCCTCACCCGGCCCCTCCTAATTCACAGAGAACTGAAGCACAGCAGGTGAAGGGACATCTGTTAGTGTCTCTGGGGGGGGTGGGGAGAGCACTAAGTTGTAGGGAGGGGACCATACTTGTCTGTTATGAAGCTGTCTGTCCACGTAGATCTGTCCCTCTGTGATGAAGCCCGTCAGGTCTGGGATTGGGTGGGTGATATCTGCAAGGAAATGCACTGGAGTCAGTGTAGATGGGGCCCACGCCTCCACCCGCTCAGGGCCGCCTGGGCTCTATGGCTCTCATGGGAGTGATGGGGTATGTGGAGGCAAGGAAAAGACAGTGAATCCCGTGATGAAGAAACAGAGCTACTGCACATCTATGCACAAAACCATGGGCCCTTTAGGCATCCCAGTGGGAAGGGAGGGCAGGGGGTAGCAGAGGGTAGTGGGCAGCGAAGAGACTCACCGTCATTGGGCATGGTGAGGATGGGGATCTGAGTGATGGACCCTCCCCGGCCCTCCACGCGGCCTGCCCGCTCATAGATGGTGGCCAGGTCTGTGTACATGTATCCCGGGAAGCCTCGGCGGCCCGGCACCTCCTCTCTGGCAGCTGAGACCTGCAACGTCAGTGTCGCTGGGATAAGAAGCGGGGCAAGAGGCTGAGTGGGAGGTTCAGTGACTGAGAAATGGAGTGAGTGGCGGCAGGCTTGGATGGGTGAGTTTTGGGGTGGAAGGACTACGGAGAGGCCGGCACGACCCCGACACCCTTCACCAGCTGCCTCACCTCCCGCAAGGCCTCTGCGTAGGAACTCATGTCGGTCAGTATGACCAGCACGTGCTTCTCACACTGGTAGGCAAGAAATTCAGCAGTGGTCAGTGCCAGGCGTGGGGTGATGATGCGCTCGATCCTGGAGGGACAGCCTGTGTTTAGAGAGCCCAGAGGCCTAGGCCTGTGCTCTGTCTAGCCCCAAGTGCTGAGTGGATAGTGGACTGCGCATAGCAGCAGGGGGGTGGGTGGGATGAGCCCCAGCTCCCAGGCCCCATGTCAGCTGTGGTTCCTGGGGGTGGGCAGTTCACCACGTCTGGCACTCCTCCCTCCTGCTGTCCTAGGGAGGAAGGGGGGGAGCCCGGAATAGGCCGGGAGTTGGGCAGGAGTGGGACAGGCAGGGCCAGGAGTGTTGATGAGGATGACAGCACCCTGTCCCTGTGGGCCTGAAGGTGCGTGCGGGGGGCCGGGGGGGGTGCTGGCCTATCAGAGCGAGGCAGGGGTGGGGCTCCTGCTGCGCTTCTCTTCCCCAGCTTCCTCCCCGCCACACTCGGCTCAGGTAGAACACCCTGGATTCCTTCCGGAAGGTTCCCCTCACTGCTCCAGAGCACGGCTAGTGTGCATATTCCATAGGCGTGCCCTGCCCGCCTGGCAGCCCCCTTCCACTCTGAGCTCCCCCGAGTCCCTTCCTCTGGCTCCAGGCTCTCTCAGTCCTTAAGCTCTGTCCTGTGGGTCTTTTCTCTGGTGATGTCATCTTGGCCTCCAGAATTCTGTTACTTCGCTTTTGGAGCCCCTTCAGTACCCAGGACAGTTTTATTAGAATTTTTTTTTCATCCCCCTGACCCACAGATTTAAACTCACACTTCCTGAACTTTAGAAATAACAGTTTTTCCAAATGAATAAACAAAAAGCAGAATCAGACCTATACATACAGAGAATAAACTGATGGTTGCCAGAGGGAAGGGGTGGGGAGATGGGCAAAATGGGGGGCGAGGGGCGGAGTCATAGGCTCCCAGTCAGGGAGACAGGCGCAGCACGGGGAATAGGGTCGGTGGTATGGTGAGAGTGTTACTTGGTGACAGATGGTAGATACACTCGTTGTGAACACAGCACTGACCTACAGAGAAACTGAATCACTACCTTGTACACCTGAAACTAATGTTAACATTGTGTGTCAACTCTATTCAAGTAAGAAAATTAAAAAATAAAACAGCAGTTTCTGTAAATACGTGGTTTAAGTTTTAGTGGTGACTTTGGGGAAGTGACTCAAGAATAAGGAGGTCTGACTGGGGACAGTGGCTGGACGCACATTATGGGAAGAACAGAGGGGCTGCAGGTGGCAGGCGGGCTTGTGGTCTGGTCCCCTCCATCTCTCCCTGGGCTATCCCTACCCCTTACCCAGCCTCAGTTTCCCCATCTGCACAACAAGGGGTTGTTTTCCCAACTCCGGCCCATGGCTATGGTTCTGGGATACTCCTGAGCTCTGGTACTCTGGGTGTTGAGAGGGGACAGGGCTTGCTGCCTGAAGGCAGTCTGGGTACCAGGGGATGGCTCACGTGGGGTCGTTGGCCAAGTTCAGGAAGAGGCAGACATTCCCCATGGTACCGTTCTGCTCGAAGTCAGACTTGAAGAACCTGGCTGTCTCCATGTTCACCTGGACACACAGCAGGGAGGGCTGGAGGGGGCGTCTCTGCAGCCTAAGGGCTGGGGCCCCGGCCCCTCCCATCTCTTCTCAGTAGAGCCTATTGACTGTCAGTCCCTGGGATGACCCAGCACTTGAGAAGGCAGGGGCTGGGTTTGCACTCCCCAGGCCCCCAAAGAGAAGTTCAGATTTCTTCAGGTTGTGCTCTGCTCATTGCATCCTGACCCCTCACTTAGCCAGCTGCTTCCCTGCTAAACCCCTCCTTGGGCCCCCTGAGGGCCCCGTGGTATCCCCTCCCTGAAGCCGTCTTCCCAAATTCCCTGGCTTCTCCCTCCTCCAGGCCACCCTAGGGCTCATCTTACAGCTGCCATGTCCTTTGGAATGCACGGGGGGACACACTGTACCTAGTCACTGAGGCCCCTTCCCCCTTCAGTCATGCTCTTGCCTCTCCCACCAGATAGGCCTGGACACTGACAGCTTCTCAGGGAGAAGGATTATGCCTCCCTCATCATATCAGGCAGAGCCAGGGTCCAAGAGAGACAAGGCTGCCTGCCCACAGCTTCCAGAATTTGCCAATCTGCCCAACTTCTCTTACCCCCATGGCCGCAAAGACAATGGCAAAGTTGTCGTCGTGGTAATCCAGCACAGCCTTGGACTTCTTCACCAGCCCAGCCTGGCGGCAGATCTGGGCGGCAATCTGGAATGGAGTGGATTAGAAGGAAGGGTGTCAGAACCAGAGCCCAGAGCCCAGCCTCGTGAGCACCATAGAGGATGATGGTTGGAGCAATTTCCAGTCCTTCCTCCTGCCAAGGCCTTTGGTTGGGGTGGTGGGGGGGGATCCTAGGCCAGAAAGATGAAAGGGCTGCCCCAGGTCCTACAGCCTTCCTCAGGGTGAAGGCTTGAAGACCTGCTTGGGGGCACTGAGGAGGTGTTCTGAGGCCCTGAGCCCATGAGTTGCCAGAGGACAGCTACCAGTCTGGACAGCTATGACCCCAGCGTGGCTGGTCCCTGCCTGTTTGATTCAGGAGACCCACTTCACTGGCCTCTGCCCTGTGCGTTCCTCTTGGTCATGTCTGCAGGACCCTGCAGGCCTCACCTCATTGTGGGGGAGCCCGGCTGCTGAGAAGATGGGGATCTTCTGACCACGGGCAATGCTGTTCATGATGTCGATGGGAGAGATGCCCGTCTGAATCATCTCCTCTGGGTAGATGCGGTCATGGGGGTTGATGGGCTGACCTGGGAGAGGGCGATCATGGACCCATGCTCAAGGGCTCAAGTCTGTCCCTGCCCTCCCCCAACCCTGCCCCCGACTCCAGAGCTGCACTGTGGAGCAGAATTCTCTGTGATGATGAAAATGTGCTCTAACTACCCTGCCCAGTCCAGTAGCCCTAGTCACATGCGGCTGGTGGGCATGTGACATGAACGTGTATTCCACTTGAATTCATTTGTATTTAAATAGCCACAATCCAGTGCTCCCTTGGACAGTGCTGCCTGGCCCAGCAGAAGTGGCAGGCAGGTGGGAGCTCAGGCTGAGGCCCCCGAGGCTGAGCAGGTGTCGTGCGGGGCTCGAAGGAACAGAGGGCAGCCTGGAGAGCTCCTGTCTGAGGGGATGTGTATTCTTTGCTCTGCCCCTGACTTGCTGAGTGGTTTGGGGCAGCTGTGGTCCTCTGTGGTCCTCCACCTATGGGCCTCCATCTCGTCCTCAGAACTGACAGGACTGGAGGACTCAGGATGGCCTCCCACCAGGAAGGGGCTGTGTCTACTGCGGCAAGCCACCCCAGGCAGCTCTGAGGGGCGGGGACAGGGCACTGGGAGGCGGGAGAGTGAGGGTCTTGGGCACCCATGGAACTTTGCACCTGATGATGGCTTTGAAAGGAACAGGACATGAAGTGCCGATGACAGTATTTCAGGCTCTGTGGCAGATTTGGGGACAGAGAGGCCTCTGCAGTTCTCGTCACACACCCAATCTGTCTGGTAGTCTGACCAGCCTGCGGGTGAGCCCTGGCCCATTGCCCCTGGCCTGTGTCTGGGGCAGAACTTCCAAGGGCAAGGTGTTAGAGGTGGTGGCTGGGGGTGGGGAAGGTGATTGGGGGCTGGGTCCCGGAAGCTGTCCAGAGTCTTTCTCTGGTCACTCACCATTGATATCCAGGAAGTCCTCTGCCATGACCACTGGCCCCTTGTCAATGGGCTTGCCGGAGCCGTTGAAGACCCGACCTGAGGGTGGGGGAGGCCATGGGGGGATGCTTAGGGCCAGCCCTGGGTCTCCCTCGCTGCTGCTCACCCTCCACACAACCAGCAGCTCCCACCCACCCCTCACGTCCCTCTCCCCTCAGCCCTCAGTTACCCCCCGAGAGAGAGCTGGCTACAGTGACTGTCTCTGTGGGGATCTTCCCTCCTCTCCTGGAAATCTTTACAGGTGAGGCCTTGGCCCAGGAAATGACTCTAATGGAGGGTTTTAGGACTGGAAAGAGGAGAGGGCCAGGTATGACAGATCTTGGGAGAAAATTGGGGGATGTGCACTCTGTTCCAGCCTAACCCCAAACAGATGACTACCTACTGTGCCCCCAGTTGATTGAACCAGCCTTCCTCATTTACGGAACATCTGTATGTCCGGCCCCGAGCTGGGGTTGGGGGTCAGAGAGAGAAGACACAACTTCTGACCTCAAAGAACTCACAGGGGAGGCAGACAGGCAAAGAGGCAAGGACAACACAGTGTGCTAAGTGTGAGGTCAGGGAAGCTGGGCCAGGAGGACAGAGGTGCACCCCCCAGCCGCCTCTCCTCCCCCCATCCTCACCCAGCATGTCTTCTGACACTGGAGTCCGTAGGATGTCCCCTGTGAATTCACAGGTGGTCTTCTGGGCATCGATCCCAGAGGTTCCTTCAAACACCTATGGGACAAGAGGTTAGTTACTCTAATAAGGGTCTTGCTGGGGAGAATGGGGCCTTCCATTCTAGGCTCCCTTTGTGCCCAGCTCTGGGCAAGACGCTCTTGGGAAAATAGGACGTTTCCTGCCTTCGGAGCCTATAAGATAGTCAGGAACTTTGTGGGCTCATTCATTTATTCAGCCAGCCAACATCACCCTGACACCACTTACCTGAACAATTGCCTTGGTCCCAGACACCTCCAGCACCTGCCCGCTTCTCTGAGTGCCGTCAGGAAGGGTGAAGTTGACGATCTCAGCATACTGTGCAAACTGGCAGGAGGGGAGAGCAGCCCAGAGCAGCAGTGAGACCAAAGGTGAAGTCCCTGTCCCCCCCATCCCTCCTTGACCCAGTCTCAAGCTTCTGTCTCCCCTTTTGTGACCAGGCACTAGTAGAAGTGAACTTGAGGGGCCGGAGGTGGGACATTTGGATTCTGTTTGGGAGGCTGTACACCTGGATGGGCAGGAGCACTGACTTTGGAGTTGGAAGACCAGGGTTAGAACTGAAGCTCTGATGCTTAGAAGCTGTGTGACCATGTGGAAGTTACTTAATGTCTCTGAGCGTTACTTTCCTCGTCTTTCAAATGGGAATAATAATAATGCCTACTTCATAGGGCTTCTATGGGGAGAAAGTGATCTATGTGAAGTCATTAGCTGGGGCCCAGGACCTGTAACAGCTCAATAAAATGTAATCATTACTATGGCTGTTTAGGTCCCGTGGACAGCACAGTTGTCCCTGCCCCTGTGGACTAATGGTGAACACATTGGCACAGTGCTCTCCTGGGTGGCCAGGTGTCCCCTCATACCAGTGGCAGTCTTTCCCTAGCCATGGGGCTGGGACTGATTCATGTGTTGTCCTCACAGCTTCAGGAATAAAAAGAATCAGGCAATCACTTCTCTTTTGGCTATGAGCAAGTGTAGTATCTCTTCTTATCCGTTTGAAAAGAACCAGGCTAATATCGGGAATATATACAGAACTCTTACAACTCAACAATAAAAATACAAATACCGTAATTTTAAAAATGGGCGAAGGATCTAAATCGATATTTCTCCAAAGAAGATATTCAAAAGACCAATAAGCACATAAGATGCTCAACATCATTCGCCATTGAAGAAATGCAGATCAAAACCACAATGAGATACCACGTCCCACTCGTGAATACGGCTGGAGTCCGAAGGACAGATAACGAGTGTAGTTGAGGGTGTGGAGAAATTGGACCCCTCAGACACTGCTGGTGGGAATTTAAAATGGTGCGGCCACTTTGGAAAACACTCTGACGCTTCCTCAAAGGGTTAAACATACAGACACCATATGACCCAGCAATTCCACGGGCCCAACAGAAATGAAAACATGTGACCATACAAAAACTTGTGTATGAATGTATATGAATGTTCATATACAAGTAGTAGCCTTATTCATAATAGCCCCAAGGTGGAAACAGCCCAAATGTCCAGACAGTGAATGGAGAAATAAAAGATGGTATATCTATACCGTGGAATATTATCAGCCTTAAAAAGGAATGAAATACTGATCCATGCGAAACACGGATGAACCTTGGAAACATGCTAAGTAGGTGAAAGAAGCCAGACTCAACAGGTCACGGATTATATGATTCCACTGATAGGAAGTGTCTGAAATAGTCTGATCCATAAAGACAGAAAGGTTAGAGGTTGCCAGGGGCTGGAAGGAGGGATGATTGGGAGTGACAACTAACAGGTACAAGGGGTTCTTTTGGAGGTGATAAAAATGTTCTGGAATCAAATAGTGGTGATGGCTGCGCAACTCTGTGTATATACTTTGGTTGCTTTAATTAATCCCAGCCATTTAAAAATGAAAATGATTTTCTGCTTT